AAGCCAAGCTACTTACTAATGACGAAACTCCACCTCTTGGGACACGGGATCATAATTTAACAGCACACATCTTTTTATGCTGTTGAGGTTGAGCTGAGAAACGAGAGTTAAATGATCAAAACATGCACAAATCTTCATATCTTCTCACCACCAAGAGGACAACAACATCAGCTGGTTGTACACATCACAAATGTCAGAAGACTATACTTGCATCACATGTGGAGAAACATTTCATAGTTCTGGGCGAGTGAATTACCTTGTGTACGTTGATCGAGGGGAACATGTTCTGGAACATGGTGGCCATCAGCTTGATGTGCATGCCCTCGATGCCAAAATTATTCAGCACTAGCAAAGGATGATGGGAAAACTGCTGTTCATGCATCCTGTGCCTCTTTAAAGACGAAACTACATCTTTGCTGAGGGTATACTGGAACAAAGAGACATTTACTTTTAGAACAAATTACAAGAATGTTCATAATATAATCAGTGTGAGACTAGACACATCAGTGCGTTTACTTTGAAAAGACATCACTCAACAGTCAAAATACTAAAATGTCATCATTTGTGCCCTCGGATATGAGAAATCAAGCCAAAGACAAAGGTCAAAAGTAGTGAAGTTATATACCTTCGCAACACGGAAATATAATGTTGGACCTTTGGGAAGACGTGCAAGCCTCTGTGGAGAAAGAGAGAGTAAGTTTAGGTGTTAATATATCTGATCTCAAAGATGAGATGATGTAGGAGACATACTATGTACTACATACTACAAAGTCATAGTCTTGAGTACCGCATCTATCAAAACTATCAAATTGTTAGTACACAATGACATTTATGAACTCAAACTGTAAAGCATGACACTAGCCAATGCCAAGGTCATGGGTTTGATTCCCAGGGAAAGCAAGAAGTGATAAAAGTGCTCTGGATGAATGCATCTGCCAAATGTCATTAAAGTCACAATGTAAGGAAATACTGACATCTTTTCTTTTGCATTGTGACATACATTCAAGTGAAACAGATTATCATTAAAAAAAATGCTTGGCAGGGACATGGTTCTATGCATCGGTTAGCTGATTGGATGGAGGCAGGTGTGAACTTGCTTGAGCTTGCAGTTGATTAAGAAAGGAGCAAAGTTTAAGAAGTCCGGCATATGTCATCAGAAAGAGGACTGTCGATTTCATTGGAAGATTGAGTTAAGACATTGATTAAAAATAAGGTACATTTTTTTTTTTTTTTAATAAAAGAAGACATGCATTCAAACAGATAGGGTTATTTTTCAAGTAACCCTTTTTTTACATTTTACATTTATTTTTTAACTTATATTTAAAAAATAAATAAATAAAGCGCTGCGCATTACAACCAGTCACATACGATTCTGTTGAGATTATGAATGCAAGGACCAATCAGAGGCGTTCAGATGAGTCACCGCTGAAACGCGCTGTTTCATCACTGCGCGCGCTGGCTGACTGAATTCTCTGGCTAATTCTCTCATCAGAAACAACAATGTGAAGATGTACGAATGTAAGTAGGATATTAATTTCAGTGTAAACTGCTTTAGAGATTATTATGGGAGTTTCTGAGAGTGCTTGAACTCGCGGGACTGTACTTAAGTAAAAAAACGGATTTGAATGCAAGTTAATATATTACACTATTAGGCTACTTTGACCATCGCCCATTATAGATCAACTAACAATCTATAAAGGTGCAAAATGCATCTACTCACACATATTTGAGAATCGAGATATTTCATGATATATTTTGGGGATATATAAAAAAAAAAATGTAAAAAAAAAATTGAATAAAATCCCTGCTGAAAAGAGTAGACAATTACAAATTTTTTTTACAAAATAAACATCCAGGAACCACCCTATCCGTTTTACATAAAACAAATACACTCACCATGTTTATAGTATATTTTGGGGATATATAAAAAAAAAAAATAAAAAAAAAATTGAATAAAATCCCTGCTGAAAAGAGTAGACAATTACAATTTTTTTTTACAAAATAAACATCCAGGAACCACCCTATCCGTTTTACATAAAACAAATACACTCACCATGTTTATAGTATTTTCAGTTTTGGTAAATATTGAGAAGTGCGTGATTCCTAATGGTCCTGCCACTGCAACAAAATCTTTCAAGACGTTATTCTTCCGCACCTGCAAACCAAGACAACAGTTTCAGTGTGTAAACGAGACTTGACAGTAGAGCTGAGCAGCAGCAATCGTGAAGCGCACCTTCAGAGATCTGGCAGTGAAGGGCTCCATGACTCGTCTCATGTCTGCCACGAGCTGAGCGACGTTTTTGCCGATCTGTCCGCGGTGAAACACGAAGGTGTGCGGCACAGTGGAGTAAGTCTCCTCCGCCACACGACTGGCAGCCACGCGGGCTTTCTTCTGGTTCTTAGTCTATGAGACAAAAACAGAAAGTAGCTTATAGAATGATTTCGTCATAACTGTTCAAGCTGAAAAGATATTATACATTATTTTGCCAAGCGTTAGAACATTGACACGTGTACCTATTTACACACACATATACATCACCGAATCTCATTCCAAATAACGAAATTAATAGATTTCGCAAAGATAAAGACAGACGGACTTGTAAGTTACTTCACTGTCCGCACTTAACTCTGGATGCAAGTTAAACACGTAACGTTACCTTTGTTTTCCCCATTTTTTAAAGGACAGCACAACTTATCCAAGCCGAGGGCGCAAAGCTGAACTTCACTTGATTTGATTTTAATACGAATATCTGAGCTAAAATATCTCACAAGTCTAGTTAACCAGCAACCATCTTGAAAACCCTGCTGCTAACCATGTGGCATGGTTGCGCATGCGCAGAAGCAAGGCACTACACGACGCGCGCACGCTGGATGTTTGGTTTTACACGCGCCGTCTTTTGGATGGGATGAATTACTGCATGTAGCTGCATTGGTAGGTTTAATGCAGCACATGCACAGAATTCTAGGCAGGTTTTAAACTTTCGATTAAGTTTTGAATGTCCCACTAGCCTTAAATCCAATTTAAAGGAAATAGCCACTGCTTAACTCTGATTACTCTCATTCATTCTCATTTAATTACTCTATGATCTGATTCAGAATTCGATGCAAGTCAGAACCTTTGTAAATCATTAAAGTATTGTCGGCTTTCTTTTTCTTCCTTGTTAAGGTTTTTCTTTATTCCTTGTTTAGTTATCACACTTTATCTTGTAAACATCATCTTATTTTAGCTTCAATAATTAGATGTGTAGGTAGTAAAGGATGTACACATCATTAGCTCATAATTGCAGAAGTCAATAGAAAGTCCCCACCATGACAGAACTAGCATTACAGTTATGTTACTTTCAAAGCAATAGAATGTAAGTAATAATTCATGTCCATTTGAGCAATTTCCTGCACATACTGTAATGCTGCACTATTGTGAATTTTTTATTTTTTTTAAATGAGCTGTATTTTTTTGACATGGACCACAAAACCAGTCATAAGGGTCACGTTTTTGAAATTGAGATTTATACATCATCTGAAAGCTGAATAAATAAGAATATGACAATATTTGGCCGACGTACAACTATTTGAAAATCTGAGGGTGCAAAAAAAATCTAAATATTGAGAAAATCGCCGTTAAAGTTGTCCAAATGAAGTTCTTAGCAAGGCATATTACTAATAAAAAATGAAGTTTTTATATATTTACATTAGGAAATTTACAAAATATCTTCATGGAACATGATCTTTACTTAATATCCTAATGATTTTTTGCATAAAAGAAAAATGGATAATTTTGACCCATACAATGTATTGTTGGCTATTGCTACAAATATACCCGTGCTACTGATGACTGGTTTTGTGCTCCAGGGTCACATATTGTACAGTCATGGTCAGTCTGCACGATGACTGGGAGTGAAGGAGAGGGTAGTGGGTGTGCTTGTGTGTGGGGGACAGGCCTGTGTAGGACTAGAAAGGAGGGGCGGCTGGTCTCATTAGGATGGTTTGTAATTATAATCTTCTTTGTTTAGAGATCCTCTGACAGGAGCTGATCTTCCTGCTTTAAAAGTTTACTGTCAGTCTGGGTGTCTCCCACTGCCCACTGTCTTTGAACATCTCCACTGAAGACCAGCCGGAGCACCGACCAGACATCCACTGCTGCAGTCATTATGCTCAATTATTAATAGCAAAGGCGTGTTTCCCTTTATGACAGTGATTTTTCATTGATATTATAATCTTTTAGTTATAAAGAGCACAGATCAGAAACTCGGAGCTGAACATCTTGTTTGCATCAGTCGGAGGACAAGGCATTACCTTAAAAAGAGACCAAATCCAAAAAGAGAAGATCATCTGGTGATATAAGGAGGTAAGAGAAATATCTGTTCAAATTGTGATTTGTTTTCTCAGAATCATGGTTATATTCCACATGTTTTCTTTTAAACAAATAAAAATGAATAAAAAAGAACTACTGTAAATTAAAATAAAAAAGCATACCAATTGTGTATCCTTCTGTTGAAATATCCCATAAGTATTACTTTGGTATTTTAATGAGCCTCCACATATTTTTAATATATATGCAATTTTAGTCATAAGTGAAACTTTTCCAAAGTATTTATTAATTGATAGCTCGCAATTACTTTAGACACATTTGCTTAAAATTTCATCAAACTGCTATTACTTTTGTTAACTTTGGTATTAATAGGTATCCTCTCTAATAGGCATCACTGTTCTTTTTAGTAGGCTTTGTTTAGCTGTTTTCAGTAGTTGCCTCAGTCAATGTTTAGAATTGTTGGCTATTGCTACAAATATACCCGTGCTACTGATGACTGGTTTTGTGCTCCAGGGTCACATATTGTACAGTCATGGTCAGTCTGCACGATGACTGGGAGTGAAGGAGAGGGTAGTGGGTGTGCTTGTGTGTGGGGGACAGGCCTGTGTAGGACTAGAAAGGAGGGGCGGCTGGTCTCATTAGGATGGTTTGTAATTATAATCTTCTTTGTTTAGAGATCCTCTGACAGGAGCTGATCTTCCTGCTTTAAAAGTTTACTGTCAGTCTGGGTGTCTCCCACTGCCCACTGTCTTTGAACATCTCCACTGAAGACCAGCCGGAGCACCGACCAGACATCCACTGCTGCAGTCATTATGCTCAATTATTAATAGCAAAGGCGTGTTTCCCTTTATGACAGTGATTTTTCATTGATATTATAATCTTTTAGTTATAAAGAGCACAGATCAGAAACTCGGAGCTGAACATCTTGTTTGCATCAGTCGGAGGACAAGGCATTACCTTAAAAAGAGACCAAATCCAAAAAGAGAAGATCATCTGGTGATATAAGGAGGTAAGAGAAATATCTGTTCAAATTGTGATTTGTTTTCTCAGAATCATGGTTATATTCCACATGTTTTCTTTTAAACAAATAAAAATGAATAAAAAAGAACTACTGTAAATTAAAATAAAAAAGCATACCAATTGTGTATCCTTCTGTTGAAATATCCCATAAGTATTACTTTGGTATTTTAATGAGCCTCCACATATTTTTAATATATATGCAATTTTAGTCATAAGTGAAACTTTTCCAAAGTATTTATTAATTGATAGCTCGCAATTACTTTAGACACATTTGCTTAAAATTTCATCAAACTGCTATTACTTTTGTTAACTTTGGTATTAATAGGTATCCTCTCTAATAGGCATCACTGTTCTTTTTAGTAGGCTTTGTTTAGCTGTTTTCAGTAGTTGCCTCAGTCAATGTTTAGATTTGTTAATTGCTTATGACATTTATGATGTGTACCAAAGCTGTAATTTTCATCGGTATTGACTTTAGCTATTGATTTTGACAATCAGATGAAATGGTAGGCTGACTTAGGCTCTGTTTCTGTTGACATGCTAATTAACCCAAGAAAAGGCGAAACTGTGTTTTACCTCCCCCATCATTAAACATGAACATCTGGCATGCATCAAAACTGCAGGCCTCTTCAGTTCATGACTGACTGAGTGGGTGGTTATAATGTTAAAATTTAGGCAGGTTTTAGCTCACTGGAAAATTAAAAGTCCTAAGTAGCACGGGTATATTTGTAGCAATATCTAACAATACATTGTATGGGTCAAAATTATCGATTTTTCTTTTATGCAAAAATTCATTAGGGTATTAAGTAAAGATCATGTTTCATGAAGATATTTTGTAAATTTCCTACCGTAAATATATCAAAACTTAATTTTTGATTAGTAATATGCATTGCTAAGAACTTAATTTGGACAACTTTAAAGGCGATTTTCTCAATATTTAGATTTTTTTGCACCTTCGGATTCCAGATTTTCAAATAGTTGTATCTCGACCAAATATTGTACTATCCTAACAAACCATACATCAATGGAAAACTTATTTCTAAATCTCAATTTCAAAAATTGACCCTTATGACTGGATTTGTGGTGCAGGATCACAATTGTTTATTACCTTTTTTTTTTTTTTTAAGTCAGATCAAGTCTGAACAACACAATCTCATGGCAGTTTGAAACTACTTTTTTTTTATGTGAATTGGTGGCTGATTCATATGAATTTGTACTGTCTTAAAATGCTAAGATAAGATATTGTATTATTTGTTTGTTAGGATCATATTGGACAGTTTATTGGCTCAGTCGCAACACTTATGGAAATTCCAGTGACTTGTGCCGTGGTCTTCCTGCTGGTTTTTGGTGGGGCCTGCTGTGTGGATGGCCGCCAGGAAGCCTCTAACGCAGACACCTCCAAGGGTGATGCAGGTCAGAAAAGGCCGTCTCGAGCAACAGAGAATAAGCCAAGCCGCTGTTCCTACACTTTCATCGTACCTCAACAGAAGTTAACGGGGGCGCTTTGCGTGAGCACCGAGACGGCTCGTGTCAACCGCTCTGAGATGGCGTCCCTGCGCGCGCTGCTGGACCGGCAGCAGGAACAGCTGGACACAGTGCGTGGGCAGCTGGAGCAGGAGGGCGCACTGGCTAATGAGATGAGAGTTCTGCGCAGGGAGAGCGTCAACATGAACGCCCGCATCACCCAACTCTACGCCCAACTGCTGAATGAGATCATCCAGAAGAAGGATCAGGCTTTGGAGCAACGGAGGCTCGAGAGTTTGGTACTTAATGCAACAGCCCAGGTAGCTAAAAGTATTCCCTACTGTAAAGAAACATCATTATTACCTCAGTTGTTTATCCTAGATGCAAGTGAGATCAAATGGAGAACAAGCTGAGTCTCCTGCTTCTCAGATTTTTCACTGGGAATGTCTCAAGCTGCACAGATTTGCCACAATACCAAAATGTGCAATGAAAAGCCATAGATTTTAATACAAACTAAAAAAAAAAGGAAAAAGTAAAAGTGCATTTTAATAAGCGTACTTTTTATGGAAACAATATACTTAAAAAAACATTTACTTAAGTGACATAAGTGAAGCAATTTGTCCAAATTTTGAGTGATTTTTTGACCCACTTAAGCATATCTTTTGACAAGCATTTATGGTGAACTAAAATATGTCAATGCCATTTCTATTTAAATGTATATGTCATGTATTTCAGTATATGTGTAAACACACATTTGTAATAATGAAGTTGTAATTTAGTACATTTAAAATAGGTTAATTTTACATTTTAAAGTAATATTTAAATGTAATAATGCATAACACGCTTCTTTAAAGCATGACACAATATTATTAAAACCATAAATTCATACTGTAAAGTAAAACTTTTATTGTGACATTATATACAAAGCACACTTTAAATGTGTTAAAAACAGTAATGAAAGTTTACAGTCTCTTTAAATACACTTAAGTGGCATTTTATTTCATTAATATTATGTTATCTGCAATACACGTTATAATAAAAAATATATTGCATTACACTAAAAATATACAATTATATTATCTGCATACATTTTTTTGCGAATAAATTTTAAGATTCGAAGTACACTACAATTGCACATTCAAGCACACTTGTTTTTCACCAGGGATGTATTGATGCATTCATTTTATGGAAAGTTATTTAGACCACACGTTAAGTTTTCTACTTTTCAAATATTTGGATCATTTTTTTTTTAATCTGTGCGATGGCAAATCCTGACAGGTGCTTCAGGTGTCCAGCAGTTACAGAGACCTGGAAAAGAAGCATGATGCACTCACTTCTCTAGTGAGCAACCAGAGCCAACTAATCACACATCTGGAGAAACAGTGCCAGCTCAAGAACCCCACTAAAGCACCGCAGGTAAGAACATCTGTTATGTATTCTGTGCCTTTGTGCTTTTGCTTTGTAATGTGGACTTTTATGTTGTAGTTTTACTTGTTTCCTGTTCCTGTTTCCCCATGTCATTAGTCTGCTTGTTTCCAACTGTGTTTAGTTATGTCTTGTCCAAATACCCGCACTTGCGGTCTTTGCACTTGACCACTTGACTACTTATATGACGTATTTCCTGTGTTTGGTCCAAGTGTTCAAGTGAGCATGAAGACCACAAGTGTGTGTAGAACTTTTCATTACCTGATAGGACACACTATAATAGTGTTGTAAAAATGCAAGTGTTTACAGAGCTTTATTTTTATTTTCAATACTTGCATTTTAAAATCAACTTCTAAATGTCTGTTCAGTGTCTCTATAACAGACGACAATTTAATTTTGTGGTGCTTCTAATTAAGTGATAAAAAGCAGTTACAAATGTTGTACAAAATAAATATCACCACTACTCATTTGCACCAATAAAACGTGCAACCCTTTCTTTTAGTAGCAAATTATATGTAATATCTAGTTGTCATTAATATTTAACATTCATTGGAAAGGTTTCCATGACCTCTCGCGAGATCTCTGCAAAAAGTCTCACGATTTATTTCCAGAACATGATGCATGATGGGAAACACTAAGCCTCGAATAGCGCTCCAGAGCGGTATTCGAGATAGTGTGGATTTAGTGTGCATTAAGGGCACTGTGCTCTGGCGTTTTTAAGACTTGGGACAGTCTTGCGCACTTATTTCCTGTCGCGTGCACGCGCTCTCAAGTGGCCAAAACCAAAAGTGTGGATATTTGGACAAGGCATGTGTCTTGTTAACCCCTGTCTATAGCCCTTGTGTTTCCTGTGTTCATTGGCCCTGTACCAACCAAAGTGGCACCTTGTGGTCTTCTTCTGAAGCCGCATGTTCGTTACAAAATGCCACTTTGACTGTAGGGTAGAAGTCTACTGTGGAGCTCGTCTCAGTGCAGGTTTAGAAGAAGTGGGCATAGAGAGTGCACAACAGCCACAAGCGGCAGCACACACGGCGGCCACTAGAGCGTAAATGCGTGCCATTTGGGATTGGGCCATAGTCTGTTGTTGTTTTTTTAGTGGAGCTCAGCCAATGGCTTGCGTCTTGTTTCTTGCTTTTGTGGTTTTCTTGTGCATTGTTATTGTTTTAATAAACACTGTTTGGATCCAACTGTCCCTCAACTCTTAAGTTCTCCCTCTGCGACACAGTCTGAGCTTTCAGGTGTCACTTTGTATATTCCACAAACAAACAGGTGCATCCCCCCAAAACCAAGTGACATTTCTTATGACTTTCTTTACAGGAAACCACATCACTTCCGGTTCAACAGTCTAGTGGGTTGGTGAATGTGAACACAGAGCCTAAAGAAGTTGCCAGCAATGTCCAAAGAGACCAAAGTGCCCCTTTGCACCAGGAACAGAGTCCTCCAGAACTGCTGGAGACCTTTGATGGCTTGCCCAGTCTGCCAACAGACACACCTTTCACCAGTTACCCCGTGACTAAATCTCCAGGTATCATAAAAACCCATAAAGGCTAGGGTGTGGCTGCCACTGCTGTTTTGAGTGGTTTATAGGTGTTGCTATTGAGTTTTCTAGGCTTTTCAGTGTACTGAATGACCTAATAATTACTTAAATGACCCAATGTTGTCCCTCCTTTGATGTGGACACATCTTTTTTGCCTGTTTTATCATCCTCCATGTGAAAATCTTAGGAAATGGTCACCCCGCTTCAACAAGCCACCACATTTGAAGTGTAATTAATGTCTGCAGCACAAATGGTATTTAATATAGCACTAATATTTAGACTTAGGGGTTTGTTTAAATCCTTACCCTAAAGTAAGAGCAAAAGTAATAATGATCCTTGTCTTGGCAAAAGTGTAAGAATCCCAGATATCCATGTTTCCCACATAGGAGTTCGGAAGCCCTGGGAGTCAGTGACCTGTAGTCAGGAAGCTTTATCTTTGAGAATTCCAAACAGTGTGTTATCAGAGATGGTGACCCTCATTACTCTTCACAGGACTGTGAGAGCTGCGCTCAGGCTGAAAGCTGTGTATTAGCATGAGCACACACAAGCACATAGCATAGGCAAGTTAATCACCCCCTTTATAAAAGCTTTGTGACACAACCCTTGAATTGCAATGCTATGCTTTTACCTCCACCAACTCGGGTGTGAGATTACAGGACACACGTCCACTCCATTTAACATACCTAAATTACAGCCACTGTTACGGCAGCCACTAAACTGCTTTAAAGCACACTCATGCTGACATTTACGATTGAAGAAGGGTTTCGAATGAGATATTTGTGTAGAAAAAAATCTTTGTATTTAAAGGAACAGTTCACCCAAAAATGAAAAATTGCTAAAAATGCACTCAGGCCATCCAAGATTGTTTCTTCATCAAAACAGCTCTAGAGAAATTCAGCATTACATCACTTGCTCACCAGTGGATCCTCTGCAGTGAATGGGTGCCGTCAGAATGAGAGTCCAAACAGATGATGAAAACATCACAATAATCCACTAGTAATCCACACAACTCAAGTCCATCAGTTAATGTCTTGAGAAGTTTATAATAAATCCATTAAGACATTTTTAACTTCAAACTATGGCTTCATGGCTAAAATGTGAATCCTCTATCCATTAAATATTTCTTTCTCCAGTGAACAAACACACACATCTACTGTATATCTTAGGTGGCTTGACTCTTGAGGGTGAGTACATTTTCAGTAGTTTTTTCATTTTTGGGTGAACTGTTCATTTAAAAGAAAAGCATTTACAGAGTGAATTTAAATGAATTGTAAAATAATGTTATAACATTAAAAAAGTTTAGAAATATCCAAATAAAATAAAATAACATGTATTTTTTTTTTATTGTTTGCAGATACCAACATGTGAATGCAGTGGTTCATATGTTGATATTTGTATGTTTTTGTTTGTTTGTTTACTTCTTTAATAAATCAGATAATGTTCTTTTTCCAATCTAACAATGCAAACCATTTTTTTTAGTTTTAGTCTGTATCTAGGTACAGATGTATGGAAGGTGCCAGTGAGTGCAGTAGGTCAAATTCTTCTGGTGGTTTGTAGGAGTGTGAATTCCTCCATGTTGAACTGATAAGTAAAGGCTGAGAGATGGTTGTATACAGTATACAGATCATAACCTTGCTGCTTTCTGAACCAACAGAACCGCAGCCCTTCCTTACCATCCATCCAGCTCCTCCACACTATCTGTTCATTATAGAGTCATTTATTCATTGGCTTTTGTCATTTAATACAAAAGACAATGAAGATAAAAAAAATGGTATAATTAAAACAATATTCTCAAGAAAACATGTTTTGTTCAAAACATTTTGATTAGAGAATGAAATCAATGCAGAAACACCAGGAATATTTTTTATGTTAAATGTTTGTGCCATAATATCCAATCAAACCAAAACCAAAGAACAGTGTAATTAAATGAGTTAAAAATCCAATTCCTGTTCACCTGAATTGATTGCCACCTTAAAGAAAATTGTATTAGGGACATGAAAATGTACTGGATAGTATACTGTCTCTTTTAAAGGGCCGTGGAATGACTGTCATCATGTGCTGGAGTCAGGAGAGAAGACCAGCGGCATCTACCTGTTGCGACCGCGCAATACTAATACACTTCTGCAGGCCTGGTGTGACCAGAGCAGAGCTCAGGGTGGCTGGACCGTTATCCAGAGGAGACAGGATGGCTCTGTCAACTTCTTCAGGACCTGGGAACAGTATAAGGTGCACGAAACAAAACATTACTTATGTGGTAAAGTTGATATAGTAGGCCTGTAAGTCTACGTAGCATCTGTGCTAAGTGAACTTTGCGTAACATTTCCGCCAAAGCAACGAGTTCTAAACAAATTCAACTTAGAAAAAACATTGCACATCTCTTAGTAAGAGTACTTTGTACTTTGTGACAGCTAAAAAGTATGTACTTTATATTATGAATGTAATCTGTACTACACTGACATGTTGTCATTGTCATGTGACCTACCAGCATCAGTTGTTTCTTTTTTTTCTTTACTATTAATTCCGACATAGGCCTACTACTCATTTCACATACTACTAGAGTAGTGTGTCTATTCGGATGCAGCCACAATGTATACAGTACACAGTATACACACACATAAACTATGTAAACAACAACTTTTATTTTGGATGCGACTAATCACGATTAATCGTTTGACAACACTAGTTCCTGAATGAATCAGTGTGTTTGAACAAATCGTTTGAGTGAATAATTCAATGACTCACTCATAGGGACAGTCAATTATCTAGTTCCTGAATGAATCAGGGTGTTTGAACAAATTGTTTGAGTGAATAATTCAATGACTCACCCACAGGGACAGTCAATTATTTAGTTCCTGAATGAATCAGGGTGTTTGAACAAATCGTTTGAGTGAATATTTAAATGACTCACTCATAGGGACAGTCAATTATCTAGTTCCTGAATGAATCAGGGTGTTTGAACAAATTGTTTGAGTGAATAATTCAATGACTCACCCACAGGGACAGTCAATTATTTAGTTCCTGAATGAATCAGGGTGTTTGAACAAATCGTTTGAGTGAATATTTCAATGACTCACCCACAGGGACAGTCATTTATCTAGTTCCTGAATGAATCAGGGTGTTTGAGCAAATCGTTTCAGTGAATAATTCAATGACTCGCTCATAGGGACAGTCAATTATCTAGTTCCTGAATGTATCAGTGTGTTTGAACAAATCGTTTGAGTGAATAATTCAATGACTCACTCACAGGGACAGTCAATTATCTAGTTCCTGAATGAATCAGTGTGTTTGAACCAGTGTTAATTTCGTTGACGAATAATTTTCATCATAATTTTCATCAACGACATTTTTTTCACCGACGACAACGAGACGATAACGAACTAAAACTCTTTTTGAATGACAAAAACTATGACGTAAATCTATTGACATTTTCGTCAACAAATAAAAACGAGACGAAAATGTTAGGGAGGGACGAAAAAACTTTCAAAAATGTCAATATGTGGGAGTAAGAGAAGAGCAGACATGGATAAATCTGACGACGCAAGACAGAACTCAGTTCGGTCCGGTTTTCTGAGCGCAGACACTGAAGCATACACACACAGATAGTGCGTCTCACAGCACACAAGTATTCTCTCGCGTCGCATGAACGGAGAATTACACACAAAATTATGTTGAATTGTCCGTTTTGACGAGTATTCACGTAAACACAGTTGATTACATCTTAAGAAATTTATTTATAGAAATAAATATGTCTGCTTAAAAGAATGAAGAATATGGTAAAGACGTTGCTATAAAGAATGCATAATTAGCCTATATAACCATTGGTATTTAATTAAAAAGAAGACCATGTTCTTGTTCTTTATGAGAAGTGGTTTTATTTAATTTTAACATAAAGGCATGTTGTGTGTCACCGCAGTTGAATCGGTGTCTATCATGATAACACATTAATATCAAACCTATATAATGAGTTTGGAAATTTTAGAGAAATGCACTGTAACTAAACCCATTAGATTTTAGCTGACTAAATTTACTATAGATTTAGTCGACTAAAATCTTATGATATTTAGTTGACTAAAACTAAAAACAATTCAGATGACTAAAATATGACTAAAACTAAATGGCATTTTAGTCAAAAGACTATAAAACTAAATCAAAATTTGCTGTCAAAATTAACACGGGTTTGAACAAATCGTTTGAGTGGATAATTAAATGACTCACTCATAAGGACAGTCAATTATCTAGTTCCTGAATGAATCAGTTTGTTTGAACAAATTGTTTGAGTGAATAATGCAATGAATCACTTATACAGACAGTCGTTTGTTTGGTTTCTGAATGAATCAGTGTGTTTGATTGAATCGTTTGAATGGATGAATCAATGACTCACTCATAAAGACGGTCACTTGTCACCGTCTACTTGTGTATTGTGTAGAAAGTGTCATTGGAAAATACCAACCACTAGAGGCGAGAATACACTACATGACTTGTGCCAAGATTTCTCCTCTGTTACCATTTACAAAGTTGGCAAGTATATGATACCCAATGTTTTAAAATCGGTTCAGGTAATCTGTTTAGTCATGCAGTGTATTCCATCTTTGAACTCACACCTATAACCATGGGTAGCAATTTTGTCTGTCCAGGTTTAGTCTATGGCCCTTCACAAATGACACAGGCATTGTGGGCCACATAAGCTGCAAAATAGGGTCCATGGGGGGCACTCATGAGCACCCTTATGAATAATAAAAAGCAGATTTTAATGCAAAAAAATGGAATTTCTTTAATTAATTACATAACTATTGCCTATATACAGCAAGGCTTTGGGAATCTGGATGGAGAATACTGGCTGGGTTTGGAGCACCTGTACTGGCTCACCTCTCAGGCCACCTACAAGCTGCGAGTAGCCATGGAAGACTGGCAAGGACGACAGGCGTTTGCAGAGTACGACAGCTTTCAGGTGGAACCAGAGAGTGACTGGTATCGTCTACGATTAGGCAGTTATCAAGGCAACGCAGGAGACTCACTTTCATGGCACAACAATAAAGCGTTCACCACTCTGGACCGCGATAAGGATGCTTATTCAGGTGTTCAATCAATTTTTTGTATTTCACACCATTTCTGTCATTAAAAACAAAGTTTTTTTTAAAGCCATCTGTTGTTTGTCCTCCATAGGTAACTGTGCTCATTACCAGAAGGGCGGCTGGTGGTACCACATGTGTGCCCACTCCAACTTGAATGGGGTGTGGTATAGAGGAGGCCATTACAGAGGTCGATACCAGGATGGTGTTTACTGGGCAGAACTCCACGGAGGCTCATACTCCCTAAAGAAAGTGGCCATGATGATCAAACCTGCTTAACAGCCACAGAAACAAATCAGCAGAGCACCCAGAGAGTTGAGAGTACTTAGATTGAGTGCCATGTTTTGCCACCTTTTCTACACAAAGATGTGACAATTAATGAGCACTAAATATTTTTGTGGAGCTTCAGGTTATTTTGTTAGAGATCTAGTCTTGAAGTTATATTAACATTGTTCGAACAAAGACATGATTTTAATATTTTTATTCAGGTGCATTATTGTATTTTGGAATATTTACATTTGATTGTATTCTGTTTTTCAAGTGTGAAATAAAAAAAAATATGGTATTTCGAGTATTGTTTAAAATATTGTTTTTACTTTATTTATTTAAACTACAACAGCATCCATTAAAAAAAAAATGTTATTAATATTTTGTACCATGTTTTGCATCATTTTGTATTGCCTCACGTATGTGGTTTTCCTTTCTTACTGTGAGTTTAGACAGGATTTCCTGTTCTCAGACACTTCATATCGTGCTTATCACAATTAAGAGAAAATAAATCCTTTTCACAAACAACACCAAAGGAGATTGCATCTATTATACATCTCAGGCATTACCGTCGCCATTGCTTATCACCTGCTTGACAATGCTTCTGCTTCAGCCGTTGATCGGTCTCTTGCTGATCAGCCTTGCTCATGGCGGTAAGTTCTCATCATTCTGTCTTTTCAGAGTGTCTTTCTGTGGTTCCTTTCAACTTTTTAATTATTTTGACAGCTAGAAGCCCAGCAAATCATCTAGGGAGGGAGTTCATCATTATTTTTGCAGTTCTGTTTATTTCTTTTGTTTTTAGATTTCTTTATTTCTTTCTTTCTTTAGCCGTTTCTTTTGATGGTGTCGAAGGTGATGTGGTTAGACCTCCATGTTCATTTACAAATAATAAGTGTGTTAAAGCTATCAGAGTTTGCAAAGTGTTCTTTCTGATTTGATTTGACAAGTGATCTTAATTTCTAAAGCCAGAGACCATTAACTTTTTATCTGTCAAAATTTGTGACTTTTGAAAAGTTGTTAGAGGTTGTGGTGTTAGTCTCTGAACAGAAACTAGAGCACATGTAGGCAGTCCATCAAGTAGCTTTCACACTTCCAACGCCCAAACGTTAAAGACATGTTGACCTTTGTTTCTCTTCTGAACACAGGGTGAGAACATATGAAGGAGATCATTTCATGTATGAAAACTTTTAAAGGAACTGAGTATTGATTGAGTCAATAAGTTGACATTTTTTTGATATGGATGTGGTTACTATGGTGTTTTGAATGGTTTTAGGGCATCTCTGAAGGTATTCTGTGAGGGAATGTTGGTGGTTGTTTTCTAGCGGGTTTGGCAAAATAATAGCAACAAATCACATGACTTGTCATTAATGTCTGCTATGGTTCAGGATCAGTTACGTACGGAAGTGTAATAGTTAGAGGGTTTTTTCCTAACCATAAGTATGAGCAATGATAAAACCAATGGTTGCCAAGCACCACTTATTACACCAAAAACACAAAATTACTATTATCCCCATATCTGTTGTGAAAAGCAATGGATTCTGCCTTGATAATCCTTGACTGCCTGCTGTGCATTATGTTCAAGGCTGAGACATGGATCATAAAACTCTTAAACACAGTTCCTGAAATGTGAACAGATATGTACAGGACCAGTTAAACACACTGTAAAAATGTTATGTGCTATCTACTAAAAAATGTGGTAACAATATTACACATAATATTTTTGAGTAGTTTTTAAGGGTTTATTTCTATCTGAATAAGTCATGTAAAATCTCCTAAATTATTTAATCTGTGAAACAATGAATTTAGTTTTATTATTGAAATGTGCTCAGTTATTTCTTGTCTTAGAAAGACAGACCTTTTTGGATAAACTATCCCACAGAAACTAACCTACAGAAAGTAATAGCACTTTCGATTGGAAAAAACGAAACCAAAAATGAAAATTTGCTGAAAATGTACTCCCCCTCAGGCCATCCAAGATGTGGATATGTTTGTTTCTTAATCAGAACAGATTTGGAGAAATTTAGCATTACATCACTTGCAGTGGATCCTCTGCAGTGAATGGGTGCCGTCAGAATGAGAGCCCAAACAGCTGATAAAAACATCACAATAATACACTAATAATTCACACGACTCCAGTCCATCAATTAATGTCTTGTGAAACAAAAAGCTGTGTGTTTGTAATCGACAAATCCATCATTAAGGCATTTTAAGTTTAAACGCTAAATTCTGGCCAAAATACAAGTCCATAATCCATAATAATGCTTCCTCCAGCGAAAAAGTGCACCAACATATTTGTTTATAACTGTTTTGGACTGTTTGGCATGTTGTCAGTGCTTGATCTGCGCATATTTCTCTCCTAATTCAGACAGGACAACTTTATTAATGGAGAAAGAAATATTACTCACTCAGAAACAAAAGTTAAAAATGAAAGTGAAAATGATGTGACATGTGGCCAAGTATGGTGACCCATACTAGGAATTAGTGCTCTGCATTTAACCCATCCAAAGTGCACACACACAGCAGTTAACACACACACACACACCGTGAACACACACCCGGAGCAGTGGGCAGCCATTTTTGCTGCGGCGCCCGGGGAGCAGTTGGGGGTTCGGTGCCTTGCTCAATTGAAGGTGGGAGAGAGCGCTGTACATTCACTCCCCCCACCTACAATCCCTGCCGGTATGAGACTCGAACCCGCAACCTTTGGGTTACGAGTCCGACTCTCTAACAATTAGGCCTCAGACACTTAATGATAAAACATCTTAATGATGGATTTGCTTATTATAAATACTCAGCTTTTTGCTTTGGAGTCATGTGGATTACGTGTGTATTATTATGATGTTTTGATCAGCTGTTTGGACTGTCATTCTGACGGCACCCATTCACTGCAGAGGATCCAATGCTGAGCAAGCGATGTAATGCTAAATTTCTCCAAATCGGTTCTGATGAAGAAATAAACTCATTTACATCTTGGATGGTCTGAGGGTGAGTACATTTTCAGCACGTTTTCATTTCTGGATGTACTATTCCTTTAAGGAATAGTGCTATTACTTTCTGTGGGTAAATACAAGGCACACAATTCAAAAAATATAAATGCTAAATTCTCGATGATTTTCAGAATTTGTTACATCAAGCACCAAGATTTGAGTCTGTAGCAAAGCCATTTGGTCAAAGTCAAGCAGAAGTTCAGTTTACTTGACATGTTTATCATGACTAATTTTTATGAACTCTAATAATACTATGCACATAGATTATTTTTATCATAATGCATTGTCTTTATTTGTTTGTTCCCTTTGCAGGCTACTGCCCCATTTTGTTCAGTCCTCTTGATGTGGTGGTTGAATATGGAGCTTCTTTTTCAGTGAACTGCTTCGTCAACAGCATCACACATCAGTTTGGTTTGAGCTGGGAGGGATTTGATGACACAATGGAGGACAGTGAAGAGATCTCCAGAATTGTGGATAAAGTGACAGACTGGGAGATGAATGTAACGTGTTACATGTACTCTAATGAAACACAGTGTTCACAGGATCTTCCAATTACTATTTACAGTGAGTTTTTTTTTCCTAAAACAAATAATTTTCTTGAATTCACTCACAGCTGTGAATTTCTATTTACAGAGACTCCAGACAGTGTGTTCATCAGTGTGAATCACAATGGACCAATGAAGGAGGGAGAGCCGTATGAGCTCCAGTGTGACGTTCACAATGTGGCTCCTGTTCAGAATCTCACTGTCAACTGGTACAAAGGACAGACTCTGCTGGATCAAACCACCTTCACTGACACTAGCGAGACTCCAGTGAATAAAACAGCCACACTCCTGATCCGTCCAGACAGAGCTGATGATGGAGCTCAATACAGGTGTGAAGCAGAGCTGGATCTGGGAGCAGAAGGACCTCCTAATTCTACAGAATCAGCTCTCAATGCTGAAGTTTACTGTAAGTTTATTATTTCCAAGATTGCCATTTAATTCAGTTTATTTTTTTTCCGAAGGCACAAGTCTAGTGTGAAGGAACTGTCATAGTTCATCACATGCAGAAATATGCATCTTAACAGATAATTTGATCAAATATTACATACTATGAATTGCATTAATGTAAATAAAAAGGTTTCAGTACAATGTGTTTAGTGATCTGCTACTAACAGCTGCTCATCATGTTGCTGTTTTGCTGAGAAATGTATCTCTGTCCGCCTCAGATAAACCACAACACTCCAGTTCAACAGAGACCATCATTAAAGACGACAAGGTCATGCTAGATTGTACAGTGAAGGCAAACCCGGCTTCTACGTACACATGGGATCATCTGAAAGAGAAGAACAGCTCCTCAGTGCTCAAGTCCTCAGCACTCAGTCCAGGAAACTACACATGCACCGCCACAAACGCTCTGGGAAGAGACAGCAAAGTGTTCATCGTCAAAGGTCAGTTTTGAATAAACACTAATCTGCCTCTTTGCCCTCAAGCAGTGTTAAGTTATAGTTTTTAATTTTTACATTTTTACTGTTCAAAAGAGTGCTGCAGGGATAGCATATTTTTGTAGGGATAGATTTATTCCCTCAAAATACTACAAATATCATTGAAACAAAATACAGTATATTCATTTAATAAAAATTTTATGCTTATTGTGTTCTGTCTGTTTTTACCGCCAGTGATCACAAGTGGGAACCCTAAGAGAGGAATACCACAATGTTAAAAAATGTGTTGTTATTTTTTCATTCCACTGCCCTGCGTCTCATGATTTTAAACTCAAAAATATGTTCGGTGTGAAAAGCCACTGAGGCATCACTAGTTTTATTGCTCATACTTGTGAAAAGCGATTTAATTTATGCTTTGCATTGCCAAATATATGAAGGACTGTTGCACAGTACTGTATGGAGAGATGAATGCCCAAACAGATTTGTAAATGATGCTGTTATTTTGTGATAGAGCTTCATTGGTTTTTAATCACATTGTGTTCTGTAGACAGTCGATGTCCTGTTCAAATCATCCCATGGAGAGCTGTTGTGAGGTACGGCGACAATGTTTCTGCTGACTGCAAAACTTCAGTCCTGCATAAAGGGATGGGATGGGAAGCCAGTGAGGGAGGAGTGCCCATGACCAAAAACCAGAGTCTGATCACATGGAGAGTGTCAGAACTGACAGAATGGGACATAAAGCCATTCTGCTACATAAACTATAAAATAGGCGATGAGGATCAGTGTCTAGTAGAGCTCCCAGTCACTGTTTACAGTCAGTTTCTCTGTTACTGATATTTTTTTCTGTTCATTCTCAGAAATATCCAATAAATGTACATTCATCATTCATCACAGCAGATTTCAGAGTGTGTAAATCTTCCTCCACAGAGACTCCAGACAGTGTGTTCATCAGTACTGTGAATCACAATGGACCAATGAAGGAGGGAGAGCTGTATGAGCTCCAGTGTGACGTTCACAATGTGGCTCCTGTTCAGAATCTCACTGTCAACTGGTACAAAGGACAGACTCTGCTGGATCAAACTACCTTCACTGACACTAGCGAGACTCCAGTGAATGAAACAGCCACACTCCTGATCCGTCCAGACAGAGCTGATGATGGAGCTCAATACAGGTGTGAAGCAGAGCTGGATCTGGGAGCAGAAGGACCTCAACCTCATCCTACAATTTCATCAAATCCTCTCAGCATTGCTGTATATTGTAAGTGAACAAAATATTGTTTAATGTCTCCACACGTGTGAAGAAGCAAGACGTTCTCTCAAAATGCAAGCAAATAAGTATCTTTCTCTGTTCTTCTTTTCCAGTTGCTCCACAAATTCAATTTTGTAGCGACTGGTCACCATTGACAGAGACCTCATTGGATTCATATCCTTCAAATTTACATTCTGTCGAGGGTAAACCTCGTCCAGACATCTCCTGGAGACACAAATCATCATCAGTCAATTCCTCTATGCCTCTTACCAGATATGATTCTGGCCTATATGAAATCATTGCCAGGAATGACCTTAGTACTGTCAGCTGTTCCATGAACATAACAGTCGAGTGTAAGTGTGATACTTCTTTAGGAACTTCTGCATTAAAACCTGATGTTTTGTGTCTCTGGTTGTGTCTTTAAGTTGATTGTTTTCCCCAAAAATAGATCCTCCAGAACTGAACTGCGACAAGAGCTATGAAGTAAAAGAAAAAACACTCTTCAAACTTCCTTGCATAGCCGATGGATTACCAAAGCCTGAATGTTTCCTCTACAAAAATGGAAAAATTATCCAGCATGACTTTTATCCCAATTGGAATGATAGTGGCTGGTATCAATTAACTGCACATAACCAACGCGGAACTAGTAATTCTACATTCACCATCAACATCCTATGTAAGAGAAAAATGGTCTACAATGTATATTTCTTTAACAACCTTTGCCAATGAATTAACAAAGACAACTTCTACTTTAACACAGATGCCCCAGTGTTTTATGACAGCCAAGAGAAATTTGTTGTGGGAGAAGACAGCAATATAACGCTAGAGTGCTACTTGACTGGTAACCCAGAACCTGAGGTGTGGTGGAGCTTCAAAAATAGGAACATCTCCACTGGGAGGCGCCACATAAACATTGAGAGAGCCACGTCTACCAGTGCTGGAGATTATACATGCAGTGCCACGAATAAATTTGGACGCAGTGACAAGACCTTTATAGTGGAGATAAAGGGTGTGGGCTGTGAGTGTGAAAACAGTATGATATGACTTTGAATGATACATTTTTTAATTTGCGTGATACATTACTGACATTTTTTTCTTTCCCTTTTTAGATGACTTTCCCTACTACATTCTAATTGGTTTAGGAGTATGTGTACTGCTTGTTTTAATTATCCTTTTAGTGGTCTTAATGTGGAGAAGGAGAAAATCAAGAGGACATTATGAAATACAGTCAGAAATGCAGCCGTTAAGCAATGGGGGCCTTAAGTGAGTTTTATCTTGTTTTAATAAGTTGAAATATGCTTACATTGAAAAAAGACAATATACTGAACATCATTGAGGTTACAATAAATAAATACATTCTATAAATGTCTGTGGTGTAACGTGTGAAAGCTAATACTGTACAGCATGCAAAGCGCTTGTGTGACTAGGCCTATATGATATGGATGATATTTCAGTGACAAGGAAGAATGTTTAAGACGAGTAATAAAGAAATGTTTCAAATGTATCAAGTTATCTTGTCACATGACAACAAAATGTTTTTCTGTATGTTGGTTATGGTTATTTGCTGTATAAAAGTGTTACGTACAGTATGTCTTGAGAGATTATCAAATTTAGTTAAATATGTGAAAAGAAAAATGTTTGTTAAATTGCATTTTACTTTTGTTAGATTTTTACACATTTAATGCTTTTTTTTTTTTTGATGATGATGATGATGATGATGAAGGACAATCTCCAGGCCAGAAATTTGTTTTCTATAATACAGGTTTGACGACACTTTTTATGCATTTGTCCCCCTTTAGTCTGTATTGGGAGATGTTCTATAAGTAAAGTGCCTGTTTTTAAATTTTATAGGCTAATAATGATGCAATAAAGGAGAAAAATGCTGCACAGAAGTTTTTGAAATAAAATAGGCCTATATAATGAAAGATTATACCAAGCTACTTATGCTTACATTTGTTCAACCGTTTTTTTTCCCAGTCTTTTTTAAGCCCCACAAAAAAGAAATAATTCAACTGGACAGCACTTAGACCTTTTATTTAAAGACCCACAAAAAAAGAGACCTCACACACAAAAAAAGAGTTATTCACAAGTCAAATATGATGTATTTTTATGTCTTTTTGAAAATAGATTCAAACACATTATCTCACTGACCCTTGTGTGATATCTTATGTGTGTGATATCTTATGTATAAAACAGCAGAATGCTTTGTTTTTTCCTTATGAACAAAATGCATGTTAATCAATGAACAAAACATTTTCAGGACCTATGTTTTTGAAGCATTGTTAATGATTGTTACCGTGTGGTGTTAATAATTGAATAAAGGTCATGTCCTTCCTCTCTGTTTTTGAAGTTCTCTCTCACTCCTGCAAACAGGCAGATCTGAAAGCTGGAAACTGGATCCGGCGGCTCCTTTAAGAATTAGGGATCTGGGAGTGACGCGGCAATGAAATCCAGTTGATCCCTCTCTCGCTTCGAGACGAAAAGTATTTGTGCCACCGCAAAGTAGCTGGCGCTGGAGATCCGTCGCAATTTGTTCAGCGTTGAGCGTGAATGTGGGAAAAGAAATGACTCGCTTTCTTTGATCCTGTTTTGAACATCTGCTACTCTTGTAAGTTGGGATAACTTTTCAGCCTAATAGAGTGGAGTGCTAGGAGAGCTGAACATGGACTGGGGCACTGAGCTTTGGGTAAGTTCGGAGGATAGACTTTTATGGTTTATGTTTCATCCTTCTGTTCCCAGAAATATATCCGATGCAGTGCTATCCAAGATCTTCTCAGCTGAATACATGTGCGTAAATTAACGTGATTTATGACCAACCTGGAAGAGGATAAATGCATCAAAAGACTATCTGGCACATTGTTAAACACATTTATGACCTAATTTTTCGAAGTTGTCAGTTATCACCATTTAATTCGATCAATTGCCACGTTTAATGTGAACATCCGCTTAAACTCAAAGTTGAGCAGAATCATAGCAACAACAACAACAGCTGTATCACCGTTAACCGTAATCATTGTATCCGTCTAAACTCAATACTGAACTGCTATCTATCTATCTATCTATCTATCTATCTATCTATCTATCTATCTGTCTATCTGTCTGTCTATCTATCTTATCTATCTATCTATCTGTCTATCTGTCTATCTATCTATCTATCTATCTATCTATCTATCTGTCTTATCTATCTATCTATCTATCCATCTATCCTTTTGCTGCAGCATTAGCTAAGTTAATTATTATTTTATCATTTTGGGGGATTTATTTAGTTGCTTGTTTAATTACGCATAGGTGAGGTATAACCAACAGCTTTTGACATGAATATTACTATAGTGTTTTTTTGTTGTTGTTTTTTTTTTAAGTATAGGGCTGCTTTGGAAAGGTGCTTTGGCTTTGTTTACTTTCTCTGACAGTCTTAATAGTGTGTTGCTAATGAGAAGTGCTAGCTGCTTGTTTTAAGAATTTATGTTACAAAGCCTGTTGTTTGGTTTCAGTGTATTTTGTAGATCATTTGGAGGAGTTTAATAAGCAGACCCTGCTTATCAGTGACACCTGACAAAGAATTGATGATCTTTATTTAGTGACACCAAATGGGTTTCCTTGAAGCATTGGTTTTTGTCCAAAATTGTCTCCAGCAATTACGCACCACTGTGTCACTCGAAGCACTTTGACAAATGTAGAACTGGGTTAGAGAAACCGAGTGAGTGCAAGTTTCTGATTGCATCATCATCACCTGTACTTCATCCTGCCTGTTTAAGTCGCCCCATTTCCCTGACCGCCATCCCATAACATCCCATCTGCACAGAGGTTCCCACCTCTTTTGACTAAAGGCAGATTTTACAGCATCAGACCTTTCCACATGCCTGCAGAGTGTAAATGGAGCATTGCGCTGAAGTGGGTGGGGATTGTTTGACCTCGTTGCTGTCGCTCTCCCTAGGCCTCTGTCCGCTGTCCCCTTTCCATCTTCTACTGCACCAGCCTAATTAGTTTTGCCCTCATTTTATAAAAACGCATCATCCAGTCCACATCACTGTTTATTTTGGTGTTCTGCTTCACTAGAAAGTTTCCCCTTTCCGTGCTTTTTGAGGGACGCCACTGCCAGCCAGGGAAATTACAGTAGTTTCAGCTTGGTAGTAAACAGAAGTGAAAGCTGGGGTTGGTGAGGACTTGTTTCTCAGGTGTAGACGCTTTAGGCATTCCTGGTGCGTGCAATGTTTCTCATAAGTCTAGCATTGGTTTACCGTCACTCTTAAGCAATGTCTAACCTAATTGGTTTTGGTCGGGTTAGTCATTAAGTGGCATTCCCATGGCTACACTATAGCATCTGTCAACTCCTTTGCTGTTAAGCCACTAGCTATTTTTGACAAGTCAAGATTTCCGTTTACTGATGAGAGAGTGGCTCATTTTTGTTGGTTTTAGTGTTTGTTTGAATTCTTTTGGCATGTCTTGAGAAATGCTGCACAGCAGGCTCCTTATTAAGTATTAGAGCATGATGAAGGACAGTGGCATTTCGCTGTGGACTCTTGTATCGGGGAGGTTGTAGACTGGTACTCTTTGCTCAGGCTGGGAGAATAGCTTTGCATTATGGGAAGGAGGAGTTAATGATGGCGGAAAAGTATAAGGGAGGGGTCAAGACTGGGCTGAATACAATGCTACAGATAAGAGGAACCCTGCTGTAAATTATGCCCTGGACTGTTTTTATAGCTTCAATGGATGTTTTCAAAGGGGATCTCTGTTGGTTTTAAGATTGTGATGATAGCAGTTGGTGTGAAGTTTGATTGAAGCCACCGCTGATTCAAATCTAAGGGAGTTGTTTTAGTGTATAAACTACATTCAAAGTTTTAGCTCAACCAAAAAACCATTACAAACCCGTTAGTTTTTTTGCTCGTCTTTGAACAAAAATGAAGACATCTTTAATGTTCACCAAAGCCTTTATATACTTTTTTAAAATTTGTAAATGTTGATTATTTATGACTTTCAACGGACAGACAAAAATGATAAATATTTAAAAAAATCCAAATATCTCCCAAAGTCTTATGAATTTGGATAGATGGTGGTTAGTAAATGATGACAAAAAAAAAAAAAAAAAAAATTGGTTGAACTAACCCTTGAACACTTAATTTCTTCATGTGAATTTCATGCAAACAATCAAGAAATGCCTTGGTTATACATAAATTATATAAGCAATTTCATGAAGAAAATTTAGCCTGTTTTTAAGACAATTCAGATATTTTAAAGATTATTTTCTTTGTAATAAGCATCAAACCTTCTAAATTCTCAGTAGCATACTGTAATGCAAAAAATGTATTTATAAATTAATAAATACAATTTTATCTTAAATACCATTTTAAATATACATCACAGTTGTATATGATGTGCTGAATTTAATTGATGCTGATTTTTTTTTTAAGTTCAACACTATATTTACAAGAGTAAGAATAAGAATTATTTTTTTGCATTATGATAATGAAAAACTTTAATTGTAATGAAGAATAATGCCACTATAAATAATTGAAATATTTCTTATATTAACACTTCTTTGTGACATTCCTTTTTTTTTTTTTACCGCATTGGCATTCCGGTTTGTCAACACAGACATTTCCGTACAAATTTGATGCATAAATATTTGCCTACAAACAGAAGCTTAGCTTGTGATTATCGTTGACATAAACAACTGCCTCTTGAGGCTTTGTTTTGAATGAAGTTGAAAAGCACTCTATTTTTGCGAGTGAGTGGGTTGTGAGGGGGTAGGGAATTCTTCTCTTGTTCTATATTAATGGACTCCATTTTGAGGAGAGAGGAGGAGTAGGTGGAGTCAGGACATGGCTTGGCTTGTTAGGAATGTCATCCCAAAGGCATCTCCCTCCTTCCCACTTCAAAACGCATATCTAGGTCCAAGTCGATGGGGGATGTTTTAAGATATCAGCACTCTCAAATGGTCAGGCCCGTACTTGAAATGTAACACACTGCCCCACCAAATAAGGAACTGGGAAAAGGGAAAAATACAGTCAAATATTTTTGTTCTTTGGGGAAATGCTGACAAATGTTTGACAAATTATTCCCTAGGTCTGTTTTTGTTTTGTTTCGGGCGTGCTGTAGGAAATAGCTTGTGATATTCATATTTTTGTTGAGCACCACTGAAATACAGCAGGAAGTAGAGAAGACTTCCACTTCCTGTGTCCTGTCTGCTCAAACGCTTGTGGCAGGATGAGTTTAAAGCCTTGAGGAACCCCCTGCCTCTCACAGATAACTTTATAGGGTCAAGGGTTGTGAAGAGGCAGGGAATCTCTGTGTGGGCAGATGCAGGACAGCTCATTACTGGCCCTTTCACGTAACTCACATCTGCATTGCAGATGGCATGATATTAGTATTAGTGACCCTGGACCACAAAACCAGTCATAAGGGTCATTTAAAAAAAAAAAAAAAAAAGATTTATGCATCATCTGAAAGCTTTCCATTGATGTATGGTTTGTTAGGATAGGATAATATTGGCTGAGATACAACTATTTGAAAATCTGGAATGTGACGGTGCAAAAAAATCAAAATACTGAGGAAATCGCCTTTAAAGTTGTCCAAATGAAGTTCTTAGCAATGCATATTACTAATAAAAAAATTAAGTTTTGATATATTTACGGTAGAAAATTTACAAAATATATTCATGGGACGTGATCTTTACTTAATATCCTAATGATTTTTGGCATAAAAGAAAAATGGATAATTTGAACCCATACAATGTATTGTGAGATATTGCTACAAATATACCCCAGCGACTTAAGACTGGTTTTGTGCTCCAGGATCACATTTATTAATTGATGTCAAATATTGATGTGTACTGTATAATGTGAAGATTATTATCTGAATGTTATCATATTAATTTTCAACTTTTCATCAAAACACAACACATTTTAATAAAAACTCATAGAAAGTCATAAAAAAATCTGAAGTAATATTTTTTTTAGCTCTAAAATATTTAAATGTCTATTAAAAAAACTTATTCAGTACTGTAAAGTTTGGAACAAAAAAGTATGGATTTTTTTGATGTTTTTAAAGACGTCTCTAATGCTCAACTGCATTTATTTGAAAAAGGCAGTGAAAAAGTAGTATTGTGAAATATTAAAAGAACTGTTTTCTATGTTGGTATCTTAAAATGTAATTTATTTCTGTGATGCAAAGCTGAATTTTCAGCATCATTACTCCAGTCTTCAGTGTCACATGATTCTTCAGAAATCATACTAATATGCTGATTTACTGCTCAAGAAACATTTCTGATTACTACCAATGTTGAAAATAGTTGTGCTGTTTAATATTTTAGTGGAAACAATTTTGTGACACAGTACCATTTAAAAGTTTGGGGTAAGATAAAAAAAATGATAATAAATCAATAGTTTTATTTGCATTCACAGGAAAAAATTACATTTCAAAATATATTAAAACAGAAAACATGTTTAATATTTAGTAATAATATTTTACAAAATGTTGACTGTATTTTTGATGAAAAAAAAAAGCATCCTTGGTAAGAATATGGACTCTTAATAATTTCAAACTTTTGACCATAAGTGTATGTAAAATAAAATAAAAAAGCATTTAATGTTACAATTTGACAGTTTATGGGTATTAAGTCTAGCTGTTTCTGTAGAAACTTACTCTTCTATGGGCTGTCTGCTCTTCCTCTTTTTACGTTCTCTGTTCTCAAATTAGTTTGATTGATTTCAGTGAGGAAGCTGGTATGGCCAGGCCATCACTTTACACAATCTGATGCAAGCTTTCTGCTAAATATGACATGCAGAGCACTGACCAGTGTTTGAGGTTAGTCAAACTTGAAACTTCTTGCCCTGCATGAATCTGGATGCAACATCTTCGTGATTACATGAATTTGTTCAAGAATGCATGCTCGTTGTTACTAATGAAAACCTTTTCGGATGTTGAAATGTCATGTGTGATGGTATATTTAATCTAAAGCTATTTTAAACAGCATTTTACTAGTTCTATTTTAGAATTATTATGCATGCAGCATTTGCTGGCTCATAGTAAATAAGAGACTACATGTAATATAAATTTGTATTTTTAAACATTAATTTCTGCAGAATCATTTAGTGAAGGTAAAGTAGATTAAAAATGGTGAAAAACGTGGACCTAAGATAATATCTTGGTGTTTTAAAAAAAATAAAGATCAGGAAGATGTTATAAATCAACTACCTGGAACCAAAAAGCTCAAAATTCTGATTCATCTTTAGGCCTCTAACTGACCAAATCTCTGTGGTTTGCCCATTTTCTGGTTCATATGAGCTGTTTTGCATTTGTTTAATGTTTTCTACATTGTGGAATACACCTGGAGTAACTGAGGAAATCACCTAACAGGTATATTCCACAATGTAGCACTTTTCACGATACAAGTCGTTGCAAAGCAGCTTCACAGAAAATGAAAGTTTCTACATTATATATAGGAGTAACTTATCAGTGGTGACTATGTCAAGGTGATGTATATATGGCAGAAATGTACAGTAAAATTAATGCAGTTCGTTAATGACATGTAATCAAACAGACGGTGAACACTATTAACAGCAATTTTTATATGTTGCGATCAGACTACCAAAATGTGGTAGTTTTGTAAGCTGGTTCAGGGTTGGCAGCATCTTAAGTCCTCTGGGGGGTTGGCATAATCTCTTCTGTTGTGTTTGGTCTTCTCAGATCTTTGTAAGGGTTGGATCTAGACCAAAGCTTGTGTAATTCCTAGTTACCTTGGTTGGGATGCCAATCCCGTCGCAGAAACAGAGAAGGAAATGGAGAAAAATGAGCTCTTCCAACCAAGCAAAAAATAATGTGTTCAACCCAAGCAAAGAATGATAATATGCATTTGATCAGATATAACTGAAGTACATGGTTATGAGATACATTATGTGAATGCTTGGCTAAAGAGATGTGTCTTTAATCTAGATTAAAGTTATCAGGAAGGCTATTCCAGAGTTTGGGAGCCAAATGCAAAACAAGCTCTACCTCCTTTAGTGGACTTTGCTACCCTAGGTAGGCTACTACCAAAAGTCCAGAGTTTAGAGAACATTATAGCACGTCATAGAGAACATTGTTAGCATTCGTTTAAAAAGGTTAGTTTTGGATTTTATTTTGCACAATTTTTATCTTCCAGGTTTAAAATCTACAGTGTTTCAACATTACAGGATGTGGCATAGCTAAGCGCTATACATTGATGACATGTCATGTGTCATAATTATTCATCAGACTGTGTGTCCTGAGCTGATTCGCCATTTTTTTTTGGCTGACAGGTCATGATTTTGAGAGACTCTTTATCCAGAGATTCTTGTTTTATTGCTTAGTGGTACATTTCTTATATTTTTCACATACTTTTTCCACACTCAATTCATGTTTCTTACAAATATAGTGGAAAATACTCAGTTTTAGAATAGGGTATGGCATGGTGAAAATCAATACAATGAAAGCGTTATGCCTCCCTATAATAATTTGTGACCCTGGAGCACAAAACCAGTCTTAAGTCACTGGGGTATATATGGGTCAAAATTATCGACTTTTCTTTTATGCCAAAAATCATTAGGATATTAATAGGGCTGGACCAGAATATTCGATTATTCGAATATTTGTTCGGTGGGTTGGCATTCGATTTTCAATTTTGAGATTCGAATATTCTTTTTTTTTCGAACACCTGGCATCCCCCGCGAAACGGTTCTCATTGGCGCTTGAATGTGAATCGCCCATGAGTGAACGTCATGAACATCATGATTCAGTTCATCTGGAAGAGAAGACAAAAATGCCGAAGACTTCAGCTGTGTGGGAGCACTTTAAATTGAGTGAGGACAAGACAAAGGCAGTGTGCCAAATATGCGATTTGAAACTGGCCTACCACAACAGCACATCAAGTTTGAAAAATCACCTGAGTTCTGTAAGTAGTACGCCTGTAGTATATTGTTTGTGTAAAAAAATGAGCTGCTTTTATCCGCCATGTTAATCAGTAATTTTACACATGATAAAAACGTACACTTAATTTGCTTGGAAAATACTTGCGAATACGGCAGTCATAAAAAAACGTACAGTAGCCCAGGCTAATAATGATTTGTCTATATTAAAAGTATTGCTCTTAACAGACCTGTGTGTTTTGTATCACTAGTGCAGTGTCCGTTCTCGGAGAATCTAAGCCCTGCCCGCGTGAGGCACACGTGAAGTCGATTGGATGAACGGTTCTCGACTAGGCTTGCCGCGATAGACGGTGCTGACAGTGATACCGTTGTTAAGCCGCAACACCAGTTACGTCACTTGCCCACTGCGGCACCGACCCCCACCGTCGTTTAGATTTTTTTATAGTAATAAATAGGGATGCACCGATACCGATACTGGTATCGGTATCAGGCCCGATACTGAGCTCCTGTACTCGTACTCGTTAAAATGCCCCGATACCAAACGCCGATACCACAATGCATGTCACGGTGATACCGGTATTATCCGTGTTGTCACACGTCGATTAGCCGGTGGGAAAATTTCCTCACCGTCACAACCCTATTCTCGACATAATAAAAATGCAAACAGACAGACAGACACACAGAGATTCCTGCCTTTATTAGAGAGAAGAATGTTCAGCTCCCTCCCTCCGAAGCTTCGAATATTCGGTGTTGATTACTACCGAAGCTTCGAAGCTCAAAAAATGGTATTCGGCCAGCCCTAGATATTAAGTAAAGATCTTGTTCCATGAAGATATTTTGTAAATTTCCTACCATAATTATATTAAAACTTAATTTTTGATTAGTAGTATGCCTCGCTAAGAACTTCATTTGGACAACTTTAAAGGCGATTTTCTCAATATTTTGATTTTTTTGCACCCTTAGATTCCAGATTTTTAAATAGTTGTATCTTCTCGGCCAAATATTGTCATGTTCTAACAAACCATACATCAATGGAAAGCTTATTTATTCAGCTTTCAGATGATCTATTTAAAAAAAAAAGACCCTTATGACTTGGTTTTGTGGCCCAGGGTCACATTTCATAAATTTTAACCATTGTGAGAGGAGCAAGCTACCTATACAAGAATGAAGAGTGAAGTCAGACCACCACATCTCGATCAGTGTCTGACAAATGAAAAAAAGTTAAATTTTTGACATGTTTATTTGGGGGCTTAGTCTTGATTTTGTATTGCAGGACCAATGTGACATCATTGATAAACACACACAATCTGGGCTGGACCTGGTGGAGAAATATGTGAAGTTTGTAAAGGAGCGAACAGAAATCGAACAGAATTACGCCAAGCAGCTAAGGTAAGAGATTTTAATATCTAGGATATCCAGTTTGTTCTGGATGTAGCTGTGTGTTAGTGTGTACATGTGCATGCATGCTGTTGTGTGTTTTTCCAGAGCTGTGTCTTATGACTTATTTGGGGCAGAACTGAACTTGTTGGCACCTCTGAGCTGTAGCGTTGGCCTCTGCCCAGAGGATAAGCATATCTGCGCCTGCACCCCTTCTCATTCATGACTAGGCCTTGACATTCGCTTGATCTGTGCCAGACTATTCGGAGTTCCACCCGCTACCTCTGTCTTTCCCCCCTCCCGCTGTGAGAGAAGAGAGGAAGTGGGAGCAGACGAGCATATGACTGAGGGGATGTGGATGGATAGAGTGAAAGTGTGGAAAGCAGCTTAGCATTGCCGTCTGCCTCTACTTCTCATGTGCAGACAAAGGAAAGAAATGCAGCCTGGTTTTGAGTACAATGGCCTTCCTTTTTTAACACGTTTCATTACTTTCGCTTTGTAGTCAAGCTCTTTTGATTATGCCATTGTGATTGGTTAATCGAAATTGAAACACGCCACAGTATTCCATGTAAGTGAGCTTCTGTCTTTAATGACTGTGACAAATGGCAGGACATTTTGCATTTTGTCAATCGCTTGGTTTATGGGTCAATGACAGTAAAGATTTACAATTTGAATTTATGTTGGCTTGGTTTTGGTAAACAGTATTTACCTTTTTCAATAAAAGTTTACATTTAAAGGGAAAGCAAACCAACAAATAAAAATTCCATCGCGCGTATGAAGATATTTTGAAGAATGTTGGTAACCAGACAATGTTGGTAACCAAAAACAGTTTTGGTTCCAATTTACTTCTGCCGTCTGCCTCTACTTCTCATGTGCAGACGAAGGAAAGAAATGCAGCCTGGTTTTGAGTACAATGGCCTTCCTTTTTTAACACGTTTCATTACTTCGCTTTGTAGTCAAGCTCTTTTGATTATGCCATTGTGATTGGTTAATCGAAATTGAAACACGCCACAGTATTCCATGTAAGTGAGCTTCTGTCTTTAATGACTGTGACAAATGGCAGGACATTTTGCATTTTGTCAATCGCTTGGTTTATGGGTCAATGACAGTAAAGATTTACAATTTGAATTTATGTTGGCTTGGTTTTGGTAAACAGTATTTACCTTTTTCAATAAAAGTTTACATTTAAAGGGAAAGCAAACCAACAAATAAAAATTCCATCGCGCGTATGAAGATATTTTGAAGAATGTTGGTAACCAGACAATGTTGGTAACCAAAAACAGTTTTGGTTCCAATTTACTTCCATAGTATGGGCAAAAAATACAATGGAAGTCAAAAGGAACCAAAACTTTTTGGTTAGCCACATTCTTCAAAATATCTTCTTTCTTCTGTGGAACACAAAAGTCAGTCATGCTGGTTTGTAATAACATAGGAGTGAGTAAGTGATGACATCTGGGTCAATGATTTCCTTTTTGGCTGGAGAACTATCACTTTAAGGACTCAAAAAATGTCATGTGGTATATAACAGTTTAGTAAAAATAATAGTATATGTCCTTACACCTTGAATAAAAACGTTATTTTCAAATATTTGAAAAAAAAAAAAAATATATATATATATTACAAAAGTCCTCAATTTTGAAGCCACTAATATAAAATTATTTTTAAATTAAAACTATTTTAATTTTAAATTTTAATTGTAAACTATTTTAATTTTATTATTTAAAAAATATATAATATATAATGTATTTTTTCTTCATTATGACATCAGGACATCAAAATGTAGGGCTTGGTAATATGGCCAAAAAAATTACCACGATACATTTTTTCATATCAGTTGATATCTATAATTATCACAATAAATTTCAAATTTTTATTTCTTTAAAGTTTAAAGGAAGATTTTTGCTCCTAAGTGAAAGTTGTAGAAACCAGCCGTTAATTGTGGTTTTAAATGAATCTTGGTCAGAACATGACAAACGTGTAGCGAATCAGCTCATGGGGAAATATGAATAATTAATCATAACTAGTTATAATTAATTATAAATATTTAGATCCGCTGTAGAATATATTGTGTGTTTGATTGGTCCAGACGCTACACATGTAACGTTTTTGAATTCTTTACACTTTTCCAGTCATTTTTCCTTAACAAAATAAATGACTTGATATAGAAATTAATTAGTTTCTTAGTTTCTGCATGTTCTACTGAGTGATCGTTTCAAATCATGAAACTTTGATGGCACAGTCATTTTATTAATATTAATAAAATGCATAAACATTATATCGAACATTTATCGAACCCTTGTTATCGTTTTATCGAGGAAGATTTTATCGCGATAATTATTGTTATCATTTTATCGCCCAGCCCTAGTTGTATGCAAGTCATTGTATGTATGAATACCATTTGTAATGTATTTTTAAATGCATTGAATAGGGCCAGACAAAAAAGTAGTGTCTTGTCATTGACCCTTATATTCCTGTAGTATTTCTACATTGTTGTGCTTGTCCACAGTGAACTTTCACTGGTCCAAAATCTTGCTCCAGGATGACTGCAAAATAAATATAAACATTCTCTGATTGTGATCGTGCCACGTCACACAATGTTTTCATATTTAGTGTGTTTCTCACTGGAAACTCCCTTTGTGCCTGTTTAGTGTTATGGGAAGAAAAATTAAAGAAAATTTCCCTGCGATACCCAAAATACCCTGATGTCTGTGTTTTTGAAAGACCAAATGCTCTGCACACAATGTCTCATGCAAATGCTTCACAGCCACCTGCTCCAGCAGGACTTCTGCAGTTTTCGGTCTCCAGCGTGGCATGTTATGCAACCTTTTGCTATTTGAAACCTGAGTACTTGCAAATGACATTATTATGATGTAGTTGATCTTTTTTTTTTCTTCTGGTTGCTAGGAATTTAACCAAGAAATACAGCCCTAAACGAGGCAGCAAAGAAGAGCAGGAATGCAGGTAATTTTGCACACTTCTAAAGCTGTGTGATTGACTTATTTTTCCTCACAATTGTGATGACAAGTGAACTATCCAACCTTAACAATGTGATATCGGAGAAGAAAGCTGACAAATCCCCAGTCACTGTAATCAGATCACTGTGGTACACTGAGCTATGTCTGATGTTGCTACGGTGCCTGAGCAGCAGTACCTATGGGGCTGTTGCTGTCTCCAAACAAAAGCACATCAACTCAACAAACAAACGCATACACCTGAAAATGACTTGACGTATGCTCCCTCAGGGCAAACTAATGAAGTCACTCATGGAAATCAGGTACTATTTAAATCAGCCACAGGTGAAGAAACTACATTGGCAACACGTTGAACGTTGAAAATAGTTTTTATTCATCAGGGTCTGATTGAATTGTGAAAGCGGGCTATGATATTATTGGTTATTGTTTTCTTGTTATAAAAAATCATAGTGTTTTTTTAAT